TATGTCTTTCTCTCCGTTTGACTTTTGTGCGTTTTGCTTGTTTCAATTTTTGATCTACTCTTTTAAATCACTATAAAAGCCACCACAAATGCTCAACATGTCATGAGCCGTTTAATTTTGTGCAGCTCTTACACATTTCCATCAGGAAAAGCTGGTTCTGTCAATCAGTGCAGAACTGTGTCGTCTGCAAGATATCCAATCAGTGGTATTGTCTAATAGAAGGGCTTTTTAAAGCTGGGTATTTCTGCATCTTAGTCGTGTGCATAATGTCTGGAGAGAAATCAAAAAGAGAGCTTTAACAATTTGCTTCATTATTAATCATCTGAGCAATGAGAATGGAATGAACAGAATAAGAAGAGACACAATGAAAGAAAGGGGAGCTTTTAAGAGCTACTCAACAGTAACTGCAGTGATTAGGCGAGAGGAAAAGTTAGGTGATATTCAATTAAACAGAATTGGAATGAGAACAACAATCAATTACAAGAAGGAGTTTGTATGCTGACTAGTTCCTCAAAACCAGGATTGAAGTAAAACCATTTCTCTCAACGGGACCAAAACCCAAGCTGAATAAAGCACCCTTCACTGATGTTCCTTTCCTTTTATCCACTGATAAACACTTGCTCTTATTTTCTCACACACAACAGGATCCAGAGGTTTAGCAAGCGCAGAGGAAGTGTGAAAAGGTATTCACATGCAAATTGTTGTTAAATCAGAAAGACAGCAATCAAGGTAACTGAAAGCTCTGCAAGCATCAGATGAATTTCGATGCCTATCAATGTTCAAAATTGTTGAAAATGAAGTACTTCTTTCATGACTTAAAAGTATTTGAGCTTCAGTCAGGTGCAGATTGTCATTGAGTATGGTTTGTGAAATGATATTGGTTTTGGCATACCTCTTGATTTAGATTTGTGTCAAAAGTAGGACAGTAGTAGTAATTTTCCTCTATAGCACACGTGTCAAACTCAAGGCCCACCTTGAGGTTAAAAGTTTTGAGTGACTGAAAAAAATGAAAAAAAAAAAAAAAACTACATTTCCCACAATGGAAACTACATTTCCCCTTTGGCCTACAGTAGCCGCAACGGTGTTTCCGCATCCATACTCACGAGTGAAACTGCAGAGCCGCCAAACTCTCACACACTGAACGTAAGACTCACGCATTTGAGTGATCTCCCACACCACACCTCCGAGTTAAGCTGTGGGAAGTGAATAATTGTGCTTGTATTTTGTTTTGTGTTTATCATTTTCAGAACATGATCAATCGATAGTAGAGAGAGAATCCACTTAGTGTGTTCAAGGACAGGCAGCGTCTCCTCATAAAAGACTAAGTTGGATGTAAGGCCGTGTGCAGCCTTTTTTTGTAAAATGCTGCATGTTCTTTGCAGTTCAATATAATGCTATTTTTCTTTATTCACTTGGACAGTTTGATCCTTCTTTAATGGAGTTATGTGGGTTTTCATAAGCTGACAAAAATCAAAAGGATTTATATTAGCACAACAAGCATACAATTGTTTCTATGCAACTAAATTGTCACTTGAATAAGTTATAAATAATGAGTTATTTAACATTTATTTTACATTACATTCGATTACATTGTTTTACATTTATAAGTTACATCTGGCCCTTTGAGGACAGCCATTATGTTAATGTGGCTCTCGGTGAAAATGATTTTAAGACCCCTGCTCTATAGGGTGATTGGGCGCTGCTTTAGAGAATGGGTAAGGAGCACAATCGGGGTGTACCTGGCATCTGGTCAAAAAATCCCTGGATTTCTTCCTAGGTATGTCCAGCCAAGAGGAGGCTTAACACACAGAAAAAGTGTCTCTGTATAAAGAATTCTTATGGGATTACATCATGCACTCACTCAAAACAAACCACAGTTACAAACTGCCACAATTCCAACCAATCAGAGAGTCTTCTATATTGTGAGTGGCTGACCTGTAAACCAATCACAACCTTCCCTCAGCAGAAGCAGACCAATTTTTTTTATATATATTTTCGTTTTATTACTATTATTATTATTATTCAAGGTACAGTACTATTGTACGCAGCTGAGCAAGGGAAAGATGTAACATTTATTGATCAAATAAACATTAAGAGATGTGTAAATACAGAGTGTGATCATGGCATGAAAGGGATAGAAAAAAATGATAAAAAGACAGACGGTCTGGAGAATCAAGACTGTATAATAAAACACCCCTCGGTGCCACGTAAGTACGGTTTTGTTGGTTCTTACTACAAGCTAAGGTGGTTGTTTGCAATCAAGCTACAAATATGAGACTTTTAAGACTATGATCCGTAGACAGTAAAACTTTTTCTCACTTTTCTTAAATTTCTTCTGTGCTATTTTTTTTTTAAATATTTTATTTTAGATTTTGTGGCAGTATAACATCTCAACAATGGCCGAAGAACAATAGCACTCAAGGAAAAAGGGCTTAAGTAAAAAAAAAAAAATGTAATCCTTCCAGTTGAATGATTCTGTACTTTATTAAACATCTTTTAATGTAATTTTTTCTATCCCCCATTCAGCTGTGTACATTTCTACAGTGCCTTGAATTATTAATTAAAAAAAAAAAACTAAAGTCTGCTTCCGCTAGGAAAGGTTGTGATTAGTTTACAGACCAGCCAATCCTAATATAGAAGACTCTGATTGGCTGAAATTCTGGCAGTTTGTAAACTGTGATTTTTGTGTACGTTTTTTCTTTGCGTGAAGAACATTTTATTCACAAAACGCAGTTTGTGCCCCAACAAAATGTCTTTTTGTGCTCTCAAAATAGAATGTTTTGCGCTCAGAATTGTGCTGTTAATGCAATTTTAAGTACAGCACCAATTCTTCTGGGAATGAAGAAGTTGGCGATATATCGCAACATCTATCTTTCTCCATTCTTCAAGAATAAACTCTTTTAGAGCCTGGATGCTGGATGGAGAGTGATGCTCCACTTGTCACTTTAGAATTGACCACAGGGGTTCGTTTGGGTTCAGATCAGGAGATGCATTTGCCCGTGCGATCACTTACACCCTGTACTTCTTTAGAAATGCAACAGCAGCTGTAGATGTGTGTTCTGGATCATTGACGTGTTGGAAAACTGCAAGACGACCAAGTAGGCGGGAGCTTCCTCTTTCACCACTTTCAGTTCAAGTCAATGCATTTTTTTTTGGTAGTGTGACCGCCCGGTTATGTGGATGCTTAAATTGTTGTCCCATTCAGATTGTTACTATATCATCCAAAATGCATGAATCAAGGAGTACATAAAGGGTATTTAATTAAAATTAGAACCTTATGACTCAAAAATGATCTAGAAACAAAACCAGTTATTTTTAACGTTGAAATTTTCTCAGAGAAAATAACTAGATGTTTAAAATATGATTGATTGGTATCTATTCAAAGTCCTGACCACATTTTATTGATCTGTGTGACTTTCACAATGATATGCATGTGTTTCTGTGTGTGCACGATCACACTGTTGACTACATGGCCTCTGGCTAGTAATTAAATGCATGTTTGGTTTGCCAGAGGAAGTGTCAGCTCACTGACTGGATATTTCTAACACTCCAGGATAGTGAAAGCCCTAGAGTGCTGGCGTTCCTTCACACACATAGCATGCTAATACAGTCAGGCCAGGGCCTAAACACTCAGCCAATTCAGTTAAATAAATACACTCACCAGCGTGCCATGACTGCAAACCTCTAATGAAACCAGCACCGGAGTCACTCTTATCATGGGTGTGGGTGTGTGTATGCTGGCTGGTATTTTGAAGTGTTGTGCATGTACCAAATATCTGTCCAAGTAGATAAACAGGTGTTGAAATTGCAGATGTATTGAAATATAATGTGACTGAAATATAGACATTGCTCATCTGTAGATGAGGTGGAAAATTTAGTGAGTAGTGTCCTATGAAACAAACAAACCATCCCAGACATATGGAACCAGTCTGGGTGGATAAACGGCTGATCTTAATACATATCTGATTTTGACTGTTAAAAGTGTGAAAACACCCCTTCGACTCAGCAGGGTGCCTTTATACCTCACCTTTTGAAAAATCCAGGTGCTGAATCAGCTGTGACTTAATGAGATGCTTCCCTATTTTGTAGGTTATTGTCTTTGGTGATCATTGTTAACAGCGGGAGCACAATCAAACAGCTGGTAGCTGAATATTTATGCCGTTTTAACACATTAGAGAGTTCCTAGTTTTTTATCCAGCAGGTAAAAAAATCAAGCATGACCTATTGTTTTGTGACCATGCAATGCGGCAACAAATGTCACTTCCTGCCTCTTTTAATGCAGATAATGAGATGCCAGGGAGAGGGTTACAATGCTTAGACACTGCCCATAATCTCACTAGGAAATTCACGACTGCAGCGGGATGGAGAGAGATATAAGGCCTCTACAAACCGATCCACATTTCTGATTGAAAGTTTTTTGGAGGACACATTTGACCAAACGAGTTGTGCCATATCAAATCTGTTTTTCAAAAGGAGAATGGCAAATGAAAGCTAGTCTTTTGATGATGGGAGTAGGTCTTAAAGAGCCACTCGGTGGCACTCATCCCACATTTTCTTAGCAAATTCATACAGGAAAGAAATAGAGTGCCACAAATCCTCTCTTCTCTCCACATTTTTGTCAAACATCTCCCTGTGTAAAACAGTATAAACCGCTCGACATCCATGATGTTTTTTCTATGTGTTCTTTCATGTCTTAGAAAGTAGTCGTTTTCTTTCTTTTTCCCCCATGTAGCGCTGAGTGCATCTGTAGTAGAACCATACTCTAGTGGCTGTTCATCATTATTCTTTTGAGTGAAGAGTGCAATCAGGCAAAGCAGGACTCAGAACTTTGTGGATTATGGTCTCTGGTGATCATTGTTAACAGTGGGAACATAATCAAACAGCTGAATGCATTGTGGTGCCAAAAAAAGGCTCAAATTCACATTTTATTTCAGTCAGTTTAATGAGAGAATCAAATCAGGGAAACAAAAACTTACAAAAAAATTAGTGTGGCTGGTAACTTTCCTGTGACTCAGTTAGTAGAGCGTTGCGCTAACAATGTAAAAGTCATGGGTTCAAATCCCAGGGAAAACAAGAACTGACAAAAAATGTGTTCATTCAAATGTAATTTGCCTTGGATAAAAATGTAAATGTATTGGTAAATCAAGCTCAATTGCATTTTTAACAAATTCATAGATTTGTTGCTTAACAAGACAGACCTAATCCTTACAAACTGAAAAGAATCCAATAACCAACCATTTGTGCCCATAGCAATGTGATTGTTACTTCATATGGGAATGAAAACAATATTTCAGTTTGAAAGTAATTGAAAGTACTTGAACCTACGTAGAACCAATGAATGAATAGCTAGAGCTAACTACACAAAGGAACATCATGCCGCTGATATGAGATCAGCATGGGATGCTTACAAGAATGAGTTATATACACACCACTGCATACATACTACCCACAGAAGAAAATGGAACAAAAGGCACCATAAAAAAGGAAAACGAGAAAAAAAAACACAAGGGAAGAAAGTAATACGCAACCAGGGAAATCAGAAAAAACATGCTGAAAATATCAGCAAAAGAAAAATGTGTGGTAAACAGCTCATGTGACTGCTCAGAAACATAAACATGCAAACGAGATTAAAAGGGAGATACAGAACACTCACACTGAAGTGAGAAACACGAAGGAGCAGACAAAGCAGACTGCTGGTATCAACTCTCTGCCAAGACTAGGAATAACTGAGGAAATGATGGAGTCCCTTGATATCAGTGGAACATTGAATTTTGAAGGCCTAAACAAGAGGTGAAGGTTGATTCTCAGCTGGCAGTTCGCTCGCTGGAGTATAGCTGTCAGTCACATGGTCACACCTTATTTTTTAAGTTTTATTAATTATAAACAAGTGAAAATATTAACATGTTGTTAGGTATGTGTCAAGTTTTCCTGCTTTTGTGAGCTATTGCTCCCTCTGTAGTCAATCACTGCTTATTTTTTTTTTTGCTTCTTAACCGCTAGAAGTCTCTGCACACGCCGTATATGCTAATTCAATGTTTTGAACTAAGAAAGAATGACGCGGTCCACCTATTGATTAATTTTGTGTAGGTTACAAAAAGGATATTAGCTGTGATATTTTTGTTTAAAATGAACATTACAAGAGTTATGACATAATTTTATGTGGTAATTTGAATTAAAATATTTTTTTATTTTACAAATCGCTGCTATCAGTTCCACCTTGGAAGTATAATACCTGTGAGAGAGCATTTTTTCAAAGTTCTGTGACAAAAAGTGCTTGGAACAGTGTATATGGTTTAGGAGAGGTTTACCTAGTTACTCGAAACATTGTTTTGACCTTGTGTTTGCTTTTTAGGGGACACTTAATTTTTGTTATTAAACTTAAAAACTGATCTTTTAAAATTTTGAGTGCAAAGTGTACTACACACAATTTCAAGTTTGTTGTGATATGAATGTGTAATGTAATGAAAATATACATTGTTTAAAAATATTTGTTAAAAATATCCTGTTTTAAAGGATATTTTTACCACTCTCCTGTTCCAATCCTGTCTGGTCTCCTGTCCACTGAAGCTGCTTCTAACTTATAACTATCACACCACTCTGTATGTGCCACTGAGATCTTGCTGCACAGCTTTTACTCTGGAATTCAGTTCAGCTTCTGTGGGTATTGTGTTTAGATTTTAGTTTTTAGCTGCTGTGGCGTTTTGTTCTGGTCATTGTTTGGCTGAGACAACTTGGAGAAAAAAAAATACTTTGCCTGCGATGGGCTGGCAAAGTGTCCAGGGTGTACCCCCGCCTCTCGCCTGATGTGGAGATCCCTCTGACCCTGAAAGGGATTGAGCGGGAAAGAAAATGGATGGATGGATATATATATATTTTGCTTCTGGGTCCTGCCTCTCTCTATCCAACTAACTTCCTTTCAGAATCAACATTTACCATGAGATACTGAACTACAAAATACTCCCACAAATGTAAGCCTTTGATTGTGAGATTTGTTCATTTGCACACGCAAAAAGCATTTTCCAAACAAATTCATTCAAGCCCATGTCACAAAAATGAGAACACCTCAATAATAGTCGTATGAGAAAAGCCACACTTAAGACTACAATATTCTAATAACCAAGCATTCAACCACAAGTGAGTCGAATTATTCCTTTAAGAGGTGTCCAGCAGACGGGTGAATATAAAAGGGCATTATTTAACATCGAAAAGCCCTTATCCATTTCATGCTGCTGAAATGGCTCCCCATTGAAGAGAAATGGCACAGAATCTGAGAGAGGAATGATTAATTTACACAAACAGATGAGGGCTACAATAATTTGATTGATCCAAAAAAATCAAGCTGACTGGAGTATCTTCTGGTGAGAAGGGTTGAAGAAAATTGCTATGAAAGGTCACTGCAGTTAGCTAGAAGAGAAGAAAGCCAAAGTGGAGTAACTGAAAATATGGACACCATTTTTGCACCAAAATGAGGAAAAAGCACACCTGTTTGGAATTATTCTATAAATATATACCAGGAATATCAGGCAGGTGCAAAAGGCATACCCTAGCCCCTTTTCCTCACCTATGTAAATTGAGCTGAAAATACACACGTCACACTTCAAAATCTTAATAAGAAGATGTCAGCTCATATTTTATTAATCCAACATCAATCCAACAAATCCATTTTCGTAAACCATGTCTTTGGTGCAGCTAAAGCAGAAATCTCATTATTTCAAAAGTTGGATTGAAATGTGTGAAAGTATTAACTTTGCAGCACAGATAAAAGACATTCATTATCCCATATGCTTTAGCTTTTATATTCCAGCACATTTGTCATCTGTAGCATATGTTAACACTGCGAAGGTCTTCAATCTGAAATGAGTCCAGAATGGCTGCTGTATTGGTAGGTCCACAAGCATATTTCTAATATCTTGATCTCCATGAAAAAGGTTAACATCAGATGGTTCATGTGCTTTGTTTTATTTTATTGTCAGTTACTTGCTGACCTATTATTGCTCTCTGGTTTTGAAAACCAACACAAAAAAATATGTCCCCATAAACCTGAGTCCTCATAAACACGCCGATCTCAAGGGTACCGAATGTCCTCAAGATGTCTATTGTGATGGCATTGTACTCTGCTATGAAATAAAACTTGTATCGAACAGAAGCTATTAGTGGAAAATTTTTTGAAACAAACTTGAATGTATTCTTAGAAGAGCTGACGTTAGAAGGTCATGTCTCCTTTGTGTTTTCTGAGATTATCTACAGAACACAGAATTAAGGTACTGTTGAAATCAATAGACCTTTTCAGTCTAAAACTAAAGTCCAATTCTTAATTTTAGCCTTACATTTATGCATTTAGCTGGTGTTTTGCGACTTAAAGATCACACATCAAGCAATTTGTCACACGGTCGGTTAATCATTAGTAGTGTTCATAGAAGTTGTAGTTGATTCGAAATTAGTTTAGCACTTTAGTTTGTGTAAAGTTTTAGAGTTTGCTTTTTAAACTGGGACTGGAATAGAATTTTACCAGTGAAGGAGAATGTTCTGTTGACAGATTTTCTGCCACTTTGAGAAAGATCCACTTGACACTGTTCATTTTCTGAATGCGAAGTGGTGAACATAGGATTGTAGGAGTTTGTGAAGTTGGTATGTAGGGCTGGGCGATATGGCCTAAAAACATTTCTAGTTCTGTATCTGTACTTTTAATGCACTACCTTTCTTCAATCTGCCTTAATCACTTTATTATTATTATTGTTTATAAATGTTTTTTTCAACAATGAGTGGCACCTATCCTGTCCAATCAAATTGTGTATAAAGAAACAATCTCCCCCAAAAATGAGATCTAAATGTAACCAATCCAATACAATCAGTAGAAATGGAATTTATTTAGCAAGAATAGCTCATTTATTTTCTTTTATTGTTTCTATCGCAAGGAAAAATGTTGAATTTTTAATTATATAAACTGTTTCTCGTGCACTTTTTTTGTCTTTCTACAATTTTGCACTCTCTATATCACTCTTTCTCTCTTGTGCTCACTATTTTTCTTTCTCTCCCTCTCTTTCTATCTCTTTCCTTACTTGAGTATTCTTTACTTTCAGTTTTGTTTACACCACTGATGGAATCGCTGCAGACCGACATCAATTCGTAATTCAAGTCGAAGTGCTAGATGTTGAGTTGCTCTGCTAAAACTGCTGCCGGCTCTCGCTGCCAATGTTTGTCTATATTAATACATGGGAAACGTGAGGGGCGAAAGTTATGCCTCGCGCATTCTACGAATGCATGCATTCTATGGAAATGGGGCAGCATTTTCATATTACATTAGGAATAAAATCTATGTACTCTGCAGAGTCAAGTTACTTTTTTATTACTAAGCCCTCGTAGGATGGTGCTGACCCTGTGACTGATCTGTACACGAGAATCAGTGTTTTGAACATGATACAGATTGCAATGAGGAAGCAGTGAAAAAGACGGAGAGGAGTGACAATGGAGTCCTACTGTTAAGTGCCTCAGTACACCCCTACAAATGTTAGTAAAATTCTTCCTGCTATATACTATTAGTATTCTCCTAAGGTGAATTAAGATTCATTTAACCTAAAAGCATGTTTTTGTTATTGTGGGGGAATCTGGAGTACCCTGAGGAACTCCACGCAAGCACAGGGAGAACATGCAAACTCCTACCAGGAAGGTCACTGACAAGCCTTGAACTGACAACCTTCTAACTGGAAGGCGCCAGTGCTACCCACTGTGCCATCATGCCACCTAAACATATTTACATCTCTGAAATGCAGTAATCTGCATGGGCACACAAACTATTGTTTTTAAACTGTAGCGAGAAGCCTCAATCCTAGCAAAGTACTTGGTTTTCAAAGTGTTTCAAACAGACAGAATTGGGTTTAATAGGAATTAAATCTGTGTCATAGCCCCTTTTTTTGAAGTGTGCTTTGCTGCAGGCTCAATTCTAAGGAATAGGTACATTATTCACACTTGAGAGACTTAAAGACTGTGTAGGTCTTTTTAGGACAGTGGAACAATGGTTCTGGTCATCCATAAAAGGAAGAGGCTTTTATGTGATTGTAGGTGACTGTATACGTCCTACTAAACAACACTATTGTGGAGTCCCCCAAGGCTCTATCTAAGGCACTGGGTCAAATCTTGAGAAGATACTGAATCTGTTATTGTGATCAGATTTCTCCGGTCCTTGGGTCTTTCCACTGACTTTCAGAACAGATTTCAAAGTTCTGCTGCTTATCTATAAGCACCAAATAGCTCAGCACCAGGTCAGCCAATTATATTTTATTTGTAAAAACTACCAAGAGTGATGCATTTGTTGTGCCAATTTAATAAATACAGTTTTGTAGCAGTGCCCTGGTGCAGGTGTAGCGGTGCCACTATCATAGGTCCTGGGTTTTAATCCCATCAGTGCCTCAAAGATTTACAAATTTTCTTCATCTTTTCCTCACGAAATGATCTCTGGGATTTCATCATTGTGAAAATATAATTGTATCATTTTCCTTGTAGCTCAAACCCTGACTACAGTTACCTCTGATGTAGATTGGCATTTACAAGGCACTGTGGCTTAGTTACTTAAAGTGCCTGTCTTGTAAACAGAAGAACCTGAGCTCAAATACCAGAGGTGCCTTCATCTATAAATCTTTTCCTCACAAAATGAAGGAAATTCCATCATTGTGAAAATATAATTATATTATTTTCCTTGTAGCTCAAAACCCGACTACAGTTACCTCGGTTGTAAATTGTCATAGACAAGACGCCGTGGCTTGGTTGGTCAAAGTGACTGTCTCATGAACAGGAGATCCCGTGTTCAAATCCAAGTGGTGCCTGAAAGATATATATTTTTTTCTTCACAAAATGATGTCTGGGAATCCATAATTGTGAAAATATAATTACATTAGGGCAGCACAGTGGTGCAATGGGTAGCACTGTGCCCTTCCAGGTAGAAGGTTGTTGGTTCGAGGCTTGCCGGTGACCTTCCTGGAAGGAGTTTGCATGTTCTCCCTGTGCTTGCGTGGATTTCCCCCACAATCCCCAAAAACATGTGATTAGGTTAATTGGATAATCTAAATTCCCCTTAGGTGTGCATGTGTGTGAATGTTGCCCAGTGATGGACTTGCGAACTGTCCAGGGTGTACCCCCGCCTCTCGCCCAATGTGTGCCGGAGATAGGCACCGTCAGACCCCCCGTGACCCCGAAAGGGAATAAGCGGGAATGAAAATGAATGAATGAATAATGTAGCTCAATAATGTAATGCAAAAATGTAATGAATAATGTAATTCCTTGTAGCTCAAAACCTGACTACAGTTACCTCTGTTGTGTATTGGCATAAACAAGGTGCTTTGGCATAGTTGGTTAAAGTGCCTGTCTAGAAAGTTCTTTCCGAAAATGCTGCTTTGATTGTTTTCTGTTTAAGGTGTCTCTTAACTGTGATTTTCCCATTGGTTTCCTGTCTGTGCAGAAGAAGTGACTAAAACGCAGAGGGTCTCTGTGGCGCAATGTACAGCCCATTGGACAATTGGACTTCTAGATGAGTAAAGAAGGCATTCAAAGGTTGTGGGTTTGAGTCCCACCAGAGTCATAATTTTGGTATTCTAAGTAAGGGTTGTGTCAATTGTAGGTTTCCGTGTAACTCAAAACCTGACTACAGTTACCTCTGTTGTGAATTAGCCTAAACAAGGTGCTGTGGCTTAGTTGGTTAAAGTGCCTGTCTTGGAAACAGGAGATCCTGGGTTCAAATCCCAGCAGTGCCTGAAAGATGTATATCTTTTCTGTACAAAATTATTTCTGGGATTCCATCATTGTGAAATTATAACTAAATTGTTTTCCTTGTAGCTCAAATTTTGACTACAGTTACCACTGTTGTGAATTGTCAAAGACAAGGCACTGTGGCTTAGTTGGTTAAAGTGCCTGTCTTGTAAACAGGAGATCCTGGTTTCAAATTCCAGCAGTGTCTGAAAGATATATATCTGTTCCTTACAAAATTGATTTCTGGGATTCCATCATTGTGAAAATATAATTAGATTATTTTCCTTGTAGCTCAAAAACTTACTACAGTTAGGTCTCTCCTAATTGGGATTTTCCCATTGAATTTCCTCTCTGTGCAGAAGAAGTGACTGAAAAGCAGAGGGAATCCGTGGCGCTATGGACAGTGCATTGGACTTCTAGGTGAGAGAAGAAGGCATTCAAAGGTTGGGGGTTTCGTGTCTCTCCAGAATCATCATTTTGGTATTCTAAGTACCGGTAAGTGTTGTGTCAATTAATTGTTTTTTTTTCCTTGTAGCTCAAAACCTGACTACAGTTACCCCTGTTTGAAATGTCAAAGACAAGGCACGGTGGCTTAGTTGGTTAAAGTGCCTGTCTAGTAAACAGGAGATTCTGGGTTCATGTCCCAGCTGTGCCTTAAACATTTACGTGCTTTCTTCACAAAATATTCTCTTAAATTCCATTATTGTGGAAAATATAATTGTATTATTTTCCTTGTAGCTCCAAACCTGACTACAGTTACCTCTTTTGTGAACTGACATAGACAATGTGCCGTGGCTTAGTTGGTTAAAATGCCTGTCTCGTAAACAGGGTTCAAATCCCAGCGATGCCTCACAATATTACAACTTTTCTTAACAAAATTTCTTCTGTGATTCCGTAATTGTGAAAATATAATTAAATTATTTTCCTTGTAGCTCAAAACCTGACTACAGTTAGGTGTCACTTAATTGGGATTTTCCCATGGATTTTCCTCTCTGTGCAGAAGAAGTGAATAAAAAGCAGAGGGACTCTGTGGTGCATTGGACTTTTAGGTGAATGAAGAAGGCATTCAAAGGTTGTGGGTTCAAGGCCCTCCAGAATCATCATTTTGGTATTCTATGTAATTGTTGTGTCAATTAATTGTTTGTTTCCTTGTAACTCAAAACCTGACTACAGTTACCACTGTTGTGGATTGGCATAAACAAGGTGCCGTGTCTTACTTGGTTAAAGTGCCTGTCTAGTAAGTAAATCCTTGGTCCAAATTCCGTCTTTCTCTTAAAATTATCTCCTTTCCCTCCCAATTTAATTTGCTTTGAATGTTTTCTGTTTTAGACGTCTCTTAATTGGGATTTTCCCTTTGCTTTTCTTGTCTGTGCAGAAGAAGTAACAAAAATGCTGAGGGGCTCTGTGGCGCAATGGACAATTTTTGGTTTCCTTGTAACTCAAATCCTCACTACAGTTATCACTATTGTGAATTGGCAAATACAAGGCGCTGTGGCTTAGTTGGTTAAAGTGCCTGTCTTGTATACAGGAGATGCTGGGTTCAAATCCCAGCGGTTCCTTAAAATATTACATCTTTTCTTAACAAAATGATTTCTGTGATTCCATAATTGTGAAAATATAATTAAACTATTTTCCTTCTAGCTCAAAACATGACTACAGTTACCTCTTTTGAGAATCAGACAAGGCGCTGTGGAATAGTTGGTTAAAGTGCCTGTCTTGTAAACATGAGATCTTAGGTTCCAGTCCCAGCGGTGCCTTAAAGATTCTTCACAAAATGATCTCTGGAATTCCATCATTGTGAGAATAAAAATGTATTATTTTCCTTGTAGCTCAAAACCTGACTACAGTTACCTCTGATGTAAATTGGCACAAACAAGACGCTGTTGCTTAGTTGGTTAAAGTGCCTGTCTAGTAAGTAAATTATTGGTCCAATTTCCATCATTCTCTTAAAAATTAACTTCTTTCCCTCCCAAATTAGTTTGCTTTGAATGATTTCTGTTTTAGGTATAAATATTCTTTTAGGTATTCTCTTGGCAAAGATTGCTCCATCCATTCATCCACCCACCATCCTTCCATGTACCCAACCATCCATTCACCCACCAATCCTTCCACCCGCCCATTCATCCATTCACCAACCAATCCACCCATCCATCCATTCACCCACCAATCCACCATCCATCCTCCAACCCACCCATACATCCAATCTCCCACCAATCAACCCATCTATCCTACCACCAATCCACCTGTCCTTCTTCTCACTCACCCATCCATCCATTCACCCACTATCCACCAACCAATATACACGTTCACCCATCCATCCTCCCACCCATCTATCCACTAACTCATTCACCCACCCATCTACCCTCATAAACACCCATCAACCCGTTCAACCACTAATCCACCCATCCTGCCATCCATCCAAACCCACCCATGCATCCACACTCATTTGAAAGCATTGTCTCTGTGTTGTTCATCATCAAGGCCTGAGCATGAAGAGTGAGCTACATCTTTAAAGCATTAGCAATCATCATGCTACAGGGCAGTAAACAGTCTTATCAGGTACACACTCCCAATCACTCTTGAGCCTCATTAATGCACACAGGGACGCTGACCTCTCTTATAACCAAGCTATGTTGTGAGATACTCAGGTGAAGATTGGCTTGTTTAAGATAAGCCCCCCTGGCACAAAATCCATTATTATCTCTTACTAGTTTCTGTCAGCCTGCAAGGTCAACCATAGATGAGGAAATCAGTAGAGGGCTCAATCTGGGTCTGAACAAATTTGGTGGGGATGAAGCTCATCATGGCAAGGCCTTACTTAAGTGATTATGTATGCTCTGGAATACTAGTGGAAGCACGTTGTAAAGGTTGTTTTTTCGTTATATATAGTGTGTTTATTTTGACTTTGAGCAGAAAAACAACAGCCAGAAGCCATATGCCATGCATATGTACATTTTGTTTCTGGCCAGTAAGTTGATCACTTCTGTTTGGGCAGCTGGAACCTTGGAAGGTACAGAAAACTATCCTTTTTCAAAAAATTGACACATGCTCTGACTCATTTGCATAACTCAAGACCAAAGCAGTAAATGAAGAAACAACTGTAACAAACTGATTTGGTATGTTCAAGTAGGTATTTGTCACACTCTTGAATCTTTTCTCCCTCAACTACATCTCTCATTCACCCCTCCCCCTTTTTTTCTTTTAACACCCTCCTGTCCTGATGTAATCAATGCAAAATGGTCCATGAGAAACACGAATAAATAAATAATTACATAAACTCACAACTTCCATCCTGAGGAGGAAACCCCACATCATATGTTCACTCCCCTGGAGATGACAAAACTGTCCATCTCAAACGAAACACCTACCCTCCCATATGGTGGCCTTTAAGCAGGACAGAACAAGGTATTTTATCTCTGGATAAAAAAAAAAAAATCATTACCAATTTTAATACAGATATAAACTGATTCTTTATTTGTTTCACAAGAGATCTCCAACGTTACTCCAGCCACCTGGATAGTGAACTAAGGCTTTTCTTTAACTTTTCCAGTTTTTTCACTTTCTTTTTTTTTTTACACAGACTATACTGATCTGGACTAAACTTTTTATTACTTTTCTTGAACATTTTTTTAAAATACTTGACATGTCAACAATTCTGGGCCTTCTCTTCTTCTGCAAATAGTAGTCGTTGCAGTTTACTCCCAGAGCAGAACCTTCTGATTTCAAAATAATTACAAAAATCTAAAATTTGACCAATTCCCAACAGGAAGGAACACCAACAATTAAGAAATCATGATTATTTGGTGCCATTGCTTTGCAATCTACAAACATAATTATTATGGAAGTCAACAGGGCAAAAACAGCCACAAACAATAAATCTGGTGCTACACAAGACTTTATCACAGTCCAAGACTGTGATAAAAGGTAAAAAAGTCAGTTCACAATATATTTTTTTTATATTAAAAAGAAGTCATTTTACGGAATTAACTGGCAGTGAATACAGAGATTTCTACAAAAAAAGTAATAAGATTTTTATAACGGTGTAATGTGGTGCCACAAACAACATGAATTGGTAGTGAACTTGCCCAGAGTGCATTTTTGAGTGTTTCAAAGCTGTTTCCAAAGATATGTATAAAAATAAGATTGGCCACAAAAAATCATTCAATTTGCTGAAACAGAGACAAAAATGGCTCAAAAATACACTGAAGTGGCAATATATATATATGTGTGTGTGTGTGTGCGTGTGTTTGTGTGTGCGTGCGTGCGCGTGTGTTAGTTTTTCCAGGTAAGCCACAAATTAACTATGCAACGGGGAAAATAAGTATTGAACACATCAACATTTCTCTCAAAAAACACATTTCTAATCGAGCTATTGACATGAAATTTTCACCAGATGTCGGCATCAACCCTAGTAATGCACACATAGAAAGAAATCCAATACTTATTCCCTGTGCCATTTCACTTAATTACACATAACTTCATCTATGGACATAAATGTTTGGATTTCTTTCTATGTGTGCATTACTAGGGTTGATGCCGACATCTGGTGAAAATTTCATGTCAATAGCTCGATTAGAAATATGTTTTTGGAGTGAAATGTTGACGTGTTCAATACTTATTTTCCCTGCTGTATGTGGTGTGCTTAACCATAAATAAGACCAGTTAAGTGATCCATGGCCACAGTGCTCAGAAGGTCTGCTAGCGCTTTGGACATGCTTGATGAAGAAAGAGAATGGATAATTGCAGTGTGTCTTGCTGGGTCTATGTACATGGTAACCTTGATTAGTGTTCAGGTCACTGGAGAGATTCTGTCTGGTCATGTGATGCTGATTACTAGAGAGAGGAGCCTTTGATTGCTTTACGGAGCCCAGTTTTGCCGCTCTAGCAAGTAGGATACACACTTAAAGGCTTGGTTATGGTATTTAGTTCCTTAACTACTTTAAGCCAGCTTGACTCAAATGAATGGATGGATGAATTTTATTGTGTATGACAAGTTTGCTTGATGTTAATTCTCTTTTACCTTGAGGCAACTTGAAGCCCTAGCCCATATTTAGAATGCAATTTGGTAATTATGATTTAAATTAATATTTGATATGAAAAGAAATATGTACAGGATGAGGCAAGTTTGCATAAAGGTGCATTAATATTTACAGTTATCAATTGAATGGATTCATATTGTATTGATAAAGAGATGTGCAAGGTATTTTTTTAGTAATTAGAAATATTTAGCACATAAAACAGGCATGCGATTAACATGTTTGCAGTTTTTTTGTATTTCCGTGTGTTCACCATGCAAAAAAGTCTGGACAAGCAAATGAAAGACTTTTCGTCATAATCTGTTATTCTGCCTTTTCGACTGTATTTACCTCTACCTTGTTCATGTGATCAAAGTTCTGTCACATGATCGCTCACTCTGTCTCCCTGCAACGGTAGCCTTCCGTGTGACTATAGTGAGTTTGTGAACAAAGCCTGGTCGTTCGTTCATTTAGTTCAGTTTATTCCTCCTCCTTTGGAGAAGTCTTATGTTTTTCAGGTTTTCCCTACAAGGGTCTTTTAACAAACTATAATAAACATGGCTTTCAAGCTAACAAGTTAATTTGAGGATATAGATGGTTTATTGTAGTTTTGTTGTTTACATCATGTTGTTTACATTAAATCTGTGTTAAATTTTCAATAAACAATCAGTCTTTTAGTTGCAATTAATTTTGATTAAGCAGTTATTTTTTTAATCAATTGGCGGCACTATATTTTATACAAGAAATTGTGTTTTTTAAAAGAAAGAGAGCAGCGTGTGCAAAATTGTGGTACAAAACCATTTCTTAAAAAATTCTGCATACTAATAACAGTTTGTAGTGCAATGTAAACATTAGTAGGTATAAACATCATTACATATGTTGAGAGTGCATACTAAAATGCAAGAGCTGAGATTCTAAACAAAGCTTTAATTCAGAGTTAACTAACACATCATACAAAAAACCCACAGTGGGGAAAACCTGCAGAACAAAAGACTAACTACCGTATTTTTCGGCTCATAAGACGCACTTTTTCTTCCCCAAAACTGAGGGGGAAAAGTTGGCGTCTTATAGGCCGAATGCAGAGCGCCGCGAAGTCCGGTCACGGCCGTATGAGAGGCGTAAGAGCTCCGGAGCTAGGCCGAAGCCGCGGCCATATTTGTTTACCAAGCGCTGCGCGCTGACGTCATCGCCCATCTCTGCCATTGCGCGGACGTAACGAAAACGGGGGGAAAAACTACATTTCCCACAATGCCTTTGGCATCCGCATCCATACTTACGTCACGAGCGAAACTACAGAGATCAGCTGACTCTCGCATTTGAGTGATCTCTCACGCTACAAACCCGTTTTCTCACGCTAAAATACATTTCAAGATGTGAAATGGGCACAGCTCATAGTTTGTCTGCTATGTTTTTTGAGCCTGACAATAAGATGATGATCGATAAGCATCGTCTTCAGTCTGTGAGGGTTTTATTTCCGCTAAACATTCACTTGGACAGTTTACAATCTTGGACAGTTTGATCCTTTGGAGTTATTTGGGTTTTCATAAGCTGACAAAAATCAAAAGGATTTATATTAGAACAAAAGCATACGTTTGTTTCCAGCGCTCGCTCTCTATCTCTCTCTCTCTCTCTCTCGCGCGCGCGCGCGCGCACTCGCGCTCGCGTGAGGTAAACAAAAACGCTCTCAATGACTGAAACTCTTCTTTAATAAACTCAAACTCAAATCATCTCTCAACGGTACA